CGTCTGAGCATCTACGTATGTACGCACATTACCATACAAAGAGATGGGTCCAACATTGTTTTTGATAATGTAGGCGACGCGTAGAAACACATCTCGCCTCAATGAATAACTTGACAAGTTTAAAATCTGCACGCATACCAATGTTAGAATAGTAACGGTATCGAATGTACTCGTATATTTAATATAACTGTAGCGAACACGTGTTCATTAGAAATACAGCGACCATCCTGTTATAGACTCCTTTTATCTGAACTCTTTGCTTTGATTCATTCGTTACATTTCTATCGTTAGTATTGAATGTCTTATCACAACAATGGGTGTTGGAATTTAATTACAGTGGCGTTTGGAGATTAACATTTTATTTTATTAGTTTGAATACGAATTTCGCACCAGCTTAAATTAATGTTTTCCTAAAGTCTATTTTTCTTGAAATGCAAGCTATATTAATATTAAAAAATATTATATCAGCATGTATGATTCTGTTGTTCAGAGAATGCGGCGCGTGTAGTCCTTGGCCGGGTCGATGTGGCATCTGCCCAAAGCATGCGTAATTAATTTGTGGACAAGTTTTTGTCTGGATATTCTTCGAGCGTGACGTAATTCACTGGTGTTATATCCATTATATTAATAATGTGATTTAAAATAAAATAATTAAAGCTTTTTTAAATCCTGTTCTGCCCAAATCATCGCTACTTTTTTTAAAGAAACTGCTATTATTCTAAAGTATGTGATAAAAATACAATTAGAATAAAATTAACAAATGACTTTGACAGAAAGTATAAAGTTCTGAAAATAAAAAGTTTAGAAAGCTTGCATAATTTATATGTTATAAACTTACATAGGTAAGTACATATATCTAATAATAGCTTAATAAACGATGAAACCGAAAAATTTAAATGTACATTAAGTATATAATGCTATGAAGCATGAGCTCAATCCTGATCTCAGCTTATTATTACAAAATACTGGTTTAATATTTGCTTACACAATTTGCATAAAAACCAAGTAAAACTGGGAAACGATTATACTCTTTTATTTTACGTGCCACGTTCTTATCCAAATTGAGTTATTACTCGATCTATTTTGACATTAACTAACCTTTTCGACTACTTACGCTATAGTTTCCATCGCACTTGATTTTGTCAAATCTCCAAGTAAACGATATTGGGATGATATTCTGTTGCGAACGTCAACAGGTTCTTGTAGCAATTGTTTTGGCCCCGATGACGACACGAAATGTTAAGTCGGTGACGTCATTCAATAATGTGTTCCCTTTTCATATCTAACTAAAACAATTCGACTCATAAATTTAAATGAACAAAGATACAAAATGTAATTAAAGTCTAGTTTTAACTTAAATATATCTTTAGTTGGACAGTTAATGTAAACAATGTTTGGGGCTCGGCAGTTAATATTTTATCTAAACAATTTGAATAGATGAATCATTATGTGGTTCTATTTCAATTCATATGAGGTAGTAGTCAGTTTTCTTGTAATGTGCGATCATTTTTTGGAGCTATTTATAAATGTCTATATGTGTTGTCGGACGCCTGTTTATACTGCATGCATCTCTTCTCAACTCTTAGTAAGTGGGTCACACTTGATGAGTCTCGGATGTTGTAAAGCTAATTTGTATTTTCGACTTTTTAAATGGAAACTTCATTGAGGATATATCAGAATAACGTATTTCGTGTTCTTCTTCTTCTTGAAGCTTCTAACATGAAGCTTTTAGAAATAGTATTCTACTAGCTTTTGACCGCGACTCAAAAAACATAAATAAGTAGTATATATTTTTCTAGACTATTCTCTACATCTATGCCAAATGTTATCTAGATCCGTTCAGCAGTTTAGGCTACAAACTCTAACAAGAATCCATCCATTAAACTAAACTTTCGCACTAATAATATTAGTAAGAAGTAAGAATTTAAAAAATAGAAATGAACATAACACAAAACGTTAGTCCATGGCTATTTTATTCCTATTATTAATCTAAGTGGTCTGTAAGTATTTACTGTTTATGTTTTTCTTATATAGCTATAGAGAAAAGCGTCAAGTAAATTATTTGTTGTCTTCATATGTCAAGGCAGTCTGGTCAACCCTTTTTACGAAACGTGATTGTTTCGTAATATGTTTTCTTTACTATAAAAAACAACTTTGGCGTTCAGTTGGTGATTTATAATCGTATAAAAAATGTGACCTACTTTCACGTTCGCCCTTCTGCCTTAAAATAAAATGGTTTTTACTGTTTACAATAAAAAAGAGAAATAATCATAAAAATAAATGAACAACACTATGTGCCATAGGTTTGTTTCTTTTTAAAAATACAAATAAATGTTTCTACTCCTTAAAATAATTCGTTCAGAAACTTCTTACGTAACTATCTATTTAAAAGCACATTATCTCTCGATGTAAACGGGTACAACCCACTTTCTGAACTCACGTTTTGCTAATTAACGATAAATTATATTCCGAATATATTATATTGTGTTGACATTTTATATGTTTATGTTAATCTGAATAGTTACTGTTATCGATATTTTAACTACTAAAAGGTGAATCTTCCGTCAAATGATAAATTTCACAACGAAAATTGACTGGTCTATATTATATAAGAAATTAAAGGAAAACTAACTTGTAACATTACGTGATTAGCAATAAAACTTTTCGTATTTAAATACAAAAAAATACTATTTCTATATTTCTCATAGTATGATAGTAAAATGCTACTTTAATAAAAACTAGCAATAAGTAACGTAATAGTAATCATTAAAAAGGAGCTTTTAAGAGAAAGATCTTGCAAATTTCAACTTTTAGTCGTAAATGTTTAAGTTAAAATTTGAACAGCATGATCATCTGTTAACTTTTTTTTGATAAATGAATATAATACACTTGTATTTCAGATTTAAGGCCTGTCCCACTAAATTATAAACGATCCAATGTGTGTATATGTGATGGTAATATCGGACTTTGTTCCCTTATCTGACAGTAACGTCATTTTTAGGCTATCTGAGCCTCTATCAGTGGTGGGACAGGCCTCTAGTACAATAAAGTAAAGGTATATCAGTTATCATACGGTATCAGGTGACTGGTTGATTAAGAACACGTCAGAAACAATCCATTCTTAAAGTTTTAGTCATTGACGTAAACTTGAACTTATGTTGTAAGGAATTTGTAACATTTCTTTATATGGCGTGATGTATGTATTAAATTACATATAACAAATTATACTAACTATAATTGATTTAACGTAACTGTAGGAATATAAGGTAAACATTTAAACAATCGGAATAATTACTTGAAAACTAATATTTAGTGACTTACTCAAGCTTTTTTTATCAATGTAACAATATACCAACTCTTGTTATCTCACTAAACAGCGGTATACAATTTACAAAATTCGACATACACGAACCGCTGCTGATTATGTCCGCATAGCAGTTGTTAACGATTGCTTGAAGAAGCCAGTGTAAGGCATCTTTAATAGCGTAATTACACATCTGCCAATAGTGTCACTCGAGAGTTGCTTCATTTGTTTCGCACGCATTGCCCGCGGCTGCATACAAGCACAACAATAATTACTACTCGGATCTACTTACAGACTATTACTGGAACTCTTAATGTCATAACTCCATCTTACGTTTAATAACATGCTTTAGTAATGCATTTGTTGTGAATTCAATACATGACTTTTCGTGTTTTTAATATTTTAATTTGCGCCACGATCCGTGCGGAATTAAATAGTTATTAGCATTGTATGTGTTCTCCCAGGTTATGTTCTATATCTGTGACAATTTTCAGCGAGATAGTAATAAATGTAGTAATAAATATTCATCGAAACTTTCGCATTTATATTAGTAAGAATAAGATTATGCATTTATCTAGAATGAATCATCTAATTTTGTTACAAACATTTGCAATCTTTCTCTTTTAGATTAAGATCGTGGTTCTCTATTCGTGATCACGATCGATATTACATTTATTATTCGTAAAATACGAGAGATATCTGTTGTCAATTTTAATAATTTTACCGCAGATAATCTCTTCATTTAACCTTGTTTAATTTAGTTATTTATAGTTACATGCATAATACTCAAACATTTATGTCCATAAATGTAATAACATAAAGCACAACCGTCCTTTGTTTTCAGTTTAAAATATAAATCGTATCCCTAAATTCCAGAGGTAGGTCATCCTAGCTGCCTAAATAAGAATAGACAAATACATAGATTATCATAGTATTTTTTGAATTTAATTGTAGGACAAAAATAAAAACGTAAGCTTGTATTACGTAGATATTTTTTAAATGTCAAAGTCGGTTGAAGTAAATGCTTACAGATGTTCACCTATTTTTATTATCCGGTTGATATTTGCATAATTTAACGCAAAACAATGTTATACTGAAGGAAAACAAATATGACCCGATATTATATTTAAACGTGATTTACTTGCGGTTTTATTAACCTATTAATACACTATTTGTATTATTTACTCACGTCTTACTGACCACAATAAACACTATGGGAGTCGTAGAATTAATTTTAAGAAAATTCTACACTAAGGGTCTGTTAAAGTAAACATTTAATGTCTCTGTTCTGTTTGAAAATGCGTGTCACAAGTAACAAGTTAATTTTATGTTTTCATTTCGGAAGCGATACCGCTACCCACTCGTTGCATCCTGAGTTTAATTGCGTGCCTGTCAATGCTTACTATATGTTTCCCATTTGTGAAAATGTACATTTCCTTTATAGGGAAAAGTATAGAAAACATTCGATTTAAATTGTAAGTCAACTTGATCATCCATATTTTAAAAAATACAGTTTAATTTTTAAAATATGTTCTACAGAAAAATTGTCAAAGCCGTAATTTCCTAATTCTAAGCTGCTCATGTAATACGTAATTAATTATTATTATTAAATTCATGATTCTAATATCAACGTATTAAGACAGTCATTTTACCACTATTATAATACAATTCTTAACCAATTATTTATTGTCGACAGCAATCAACGAATAACAACGGGGAATACTCGACTCGAAGTCTTCCTCGGGTGCGAATAGATGCCGGTTCTAACGCGGGAACCGCTGGTGTACGGCTGCGATGCTGGGCAGCACCGCCGTCTATCACCGAGGAGGAAGTTGAAGACGAGATCGAAGAAGATGCCGTGTCTTTACGAGCTGTGCCCGTTCAAGGTACGGCTTTAATTTAAATGGCATTTTAATTAATTTATTATTCTAAAAATTCATTCCCCATAGCACATTTGTCCAACTACAGTGCCATCTAGCGGCGAATAGCTAAAACTATACAGACTCACGTTTAGACGGAACATTGCTAGATTCTCACACTAGATGGCGACGTAAAACTATTCAATTTAAAAACTTTGAAATAAGTCTAATGTGTCATAATATTATTTATTAGGTGTCAATCTAAAAATTGCTATATTATTTTATGTATTCACCATTTAAAATTTAAAAGGTACTTTTAATTTATGGAACACAAAAGATGTCTGCCAGTTCATTATAGTCCGTAGTTGAGCGACGAAAACCAGCAGTATTTTCAGACGTTGCGGATATGGCTTTAAAAAAAAACCTTTTATAAGGACTTCAGACGGAAGGATATCAAAACTACAGCCAGACATCTATTTACACAGAATTGTGACTCGAATACGACGACATTTGGCTTGTTGAGTCGTAGTTTTACGTCTTTCGAATAAATAATTCTGAGCAATATATTTATTTCTACTGCATACTTATGTTAAGAGTTGAGAGTTGAGAGAATTGTCTGGTATACAAGTGTTTTAATTATATATTATGTTGCTTTCAAATTGTAATAACATGTTTTAATAAATGTTCTAGTTATGTGTTATTTTGAAAAAATAAATAATAATAATAAATTTTTGTAACAAAAGTATGCTTGGTAAAAACTATTTTAAATTGTTCCTGTTTTCTGTTGTCTGAGTTTTTCCATCGTTAGTATGTTGTTTTTGTCACTAAACAAAGGCATTTTAACGCTAATTGCAGTACGGTGTCCTTAAGTAGAGTGACGTGTTTTTAAAACTGTTACAGGGTGTCATTAGTTCTGACTAAGGTGACCACAATAATTTAAACTCTGAATTTCTGTTTCTTTATAATCTTTAAAATTTTTAACTAAATTTTGTCATGTTAACGGCTTTCTAACTAAGATTTTCGAAGCTTTTTCTTTAGTTAGTTTTCTTTGTACTCTCATGCTATAAGTAATAATTTTTTTTTTACTAATTATACTATAAAATGTTCCGATATAGTCTACGTAAATTGTCTCTGTAGGAGTGGAGCTTTAGGGCACTGTTTAGGGAAAGCAGAACGGACATCAGTATTGTAAGGAAGCCATGGCCGAGGACCGTAACGAGGCGTCGCGCGCGCACCCATCCGGCTCCAATCGATTACTGCCTGCTTTTTACTTCACTCCCGGTCGCATACTTGGGACTTTATACAACGTCACAGGGAACAGTTTCGTCATGAATGCATTAGTTTGAAACACGATTTATAACCGCACAAGAAATCAAGAACAGATTTATGTCATCTTCGGCGCTGAAAGCATAAAGTTGAGTTTTCTCTAAAACAAATTGAAATTGGAGATTGAGACTAAGGGCCTATCTCACCAAATTATAAATTGTCTGATAACAATATATATAAAACTAGCTGTTTCCATGCGTCTTCTTCCGCAAGAAATTATAAAAACTTCATTTTATTACTTAGATTTGTCAAATTATCAATAGCAAATGTCAAAATGACATGACATGACAAACCTTAGCAATCTTTCTTTCTTGATGTTGGCAGCAACTTATGGTCTCTTTCTCACATTAGGGTTTTTATCCAAAATATTTCCCCCTAAGTTTAATGGCGTGAAAATATATAGCCTAAAGCGTGACGTAAGTGTAGGGCTTTTTATTAAAAAAGAGTTATTAAAATATATGCTGTAATTGCTAAGATCTTAGGCAACAAAGAAGTGTGTGTTTACGCTTTATTATAATAGTATTGATATGTGATGGAAATAACGGATTTTGTTATCTTATCTGAGAGTAAAATCATTTTTAAACTATCTGAGCCTCTATCAGGCAGTGGTGGGACAGACCCTTAGACTGTCAAATAAGTTAGAATAAAGGCAACCACTAACTTTCGAAGAATCACTAATACTTGACAAACATAAAATATTTAATATAACGACAACTGACGCTGTCCCTTCGTCTGGCGCAATGGAGCTAAAACGAGAACAATTACGGGTGTGCCGTTTTTAATTGATATGGCTCCCGTTCCCCGAGCGGCAGAGATACCGCCGGCACACTGACACCACGATGAGTAATCAAACCGATACGAAACATCATTGTTGTATGTTAATTAGAAAACCGCAATTCATTGTCTCCCTTTTATTTCAAGGACCTTTTGCTTGTCAACACTTCAACAAACTATGCTACCTACAGACATCGCATACTCTTTGCACTTCAAAGAACAAGTTATTTTTGGTCATAGAATAAGTTTTTCGCTAATTTTCGTTGATCTTTGACTTATTAAAAGTAATATAAAGCTAATTAAAAGTTGCGAGGTTAATCACTAATTTAAAAAATGAATCATCTATGAGATTAATTGAACTAGCACACAAAATCGTTGCTGCTACAGGAAACAGTCGTTTCACTCGACTCTAAAAATATATATCGAAAAATCAATGAAAAGGAAGTTAGAAACGGAGGAGAAGGCATTTTTTACTTATTCGGATAAATAAGATATTTTTGAATTCCGATTTAACAATATTATTAGTTAACGGAACGAGACATTTAAAAGTATGGAATTTAAATTAAGTCCGTAGTTTTGAAAATGTTGTTCGCTTCTTAGATGGGGTTGAGTTTTGGTTTTAAAATAGATCATGTTATTTGGGAGACTTAAAATTATGCACTGACAAGCATTCACTACTTTTTTTTATGAGGGGGAATGTGTTACGCATCCAAGGTACCTTGGGGAAAGACACACAGGGTATGTGGCATTCTCTCCACATCCCTGCGCAAATGAAAAGGAACGTGGAGACTACCCACTAATCCCCCTTTGGCCTCCCTCGTCTTCACCGTTCACCGTGGCATGGGCACATGTTATTCATCACATACCCCGATGGTGATAGTTGTGGACCTCCTCAAAGGATTCACTACTAGTTTAACCCATAAGAGTTTATAAGTTAAAATTAATATGCCGCAATTCCTCAAGAAAGGAAGCAATAAAACAAATTAGTCGCGGAATCTTTCGTAGAAATGAAACGTTGCATTTAAAGTTTTCAATAGAGAGGGCGATGCCTTTGATTTGTCATTTAACATGAAACCTGACTCACAGGTGGGACTAATAGGGAAGTAAGATGCTTGACTTACCGCCGTCCCTGTTAGGCGGCCCGCGCTAGCCCTGAATACTAAATAGCTCATAATCATACTGTTTAGTATACAAGTGTACGTCCGCTAAAAATAAGTACGGTTTGATGTTCCCAATTGTTTTTATAGAAAATAATGCAGACACAAATTGTCATACAAAGTAACTCAGAATGCGTAGTAATATTAGTTTAGTTAGATGTTATAATAAAATGTAACTTACATCCATAATCAAGAAGGATACGCCAATTTAATCGAAATCCGTTCGCATGTGGCGTCCCCTTTGTTCTGAAACAAATATTAAGTTATATTGTATTTCTTTCGCATATACTACCAACTAAAAACACGGGAAAGCTCAAATATCTGAATACTGACGTGTGTTAACTGTATTGTGCGTCACTTGTTTTTTGCTTTTTGAAGGAATTCGAAAGCAGAATTTGTAGCACCGAAACTAGATATTTAGTTTGAGAGATGGGTTTAGAAAGTGTCAAGCGATTGTAGTGAAAAACCGTCAACTAGGGTATGTTTTCACTACTGATATATTTTTGAAAGAATACATTGTTGTATTGGTTCTTAAAAGGGATTATTAGGGATGTCGATGTGTTTTTCCGTAGTGGAAATTCACGGTTAATTATTCCTACCCGTACAAGAAACATGTTCCAATTTGTGTATTCAATTATTCAGATGTTACTGAGATATCAAGTTTCCATTTAAGACATGATCAAGTTTACATTTAGGACTCAAGTGGTCGTTATTGAACTTTCTTGAAAGTTGCAGACGGCGTCCGGATACTATGAATATTTTATCTGTGACCTTAGGACTGAGGACGTCTTATAAATAAATAAGATTGTATATGCTGAGGATAATACCGTAGTTATAATATACATCTCTCTTATTTTTTTGTAGTCTTAAAAAGGTAAAGCGTGGCTTATGAGAGGATAAAAAAACATCTGCAAAATATTTCAGCACGTGCATTTTGTATATTGTATAAATCTATGTTTTACTTATAGTTGTGTATTGCAACAAAATAGAGCTGTAAAAAACTTTTCATTAATGAGAAAAAAAGTAAAGTAAAACGCAGTAAGCATCGTTAACTCGGATTTAATTAAATTTTACCGCTGAAAAAGGTATTCAAGAGGTGATTTTAACTTTAAACTGCCTGTCCTTTTAACAACGTTACTAAATGACTATTTCTGTATTTTTCGAAAACAGAACAACGTGGCTTTTTGCTTTTTTAATTAATAATTAAATTTGCACTTATCTTTACCCACCATACAAGTTACACACATTTCTCATTGAAGGTAACAACGACTCGCTATTTCAAACGTATTTCATTGATAAATTCTCGTTGTGTATAAAGTCTGTAGACTGTGAATAGATCTCTAAGATGTCGCTAAATCGGACACATCCCAGTTAAAGCTTTACAAATATTTAACTTCTATCTTTCGACCGCGACTCCGTCCGCGTGAAATTAAAAAAAAAAAAACAACAAAACAAAAGTAAGTAGCCTACGTGTTCTTTCCGACTATTCTATACTCTATATCTATGGCAAATTTTATCACTATTCGTTCAACAGTTTAGGCTACAAACTCTAACAAACATTCATCCATCTAAACATTTCTAATCTTAGTAAGAAGAATAGCAATTAGTAACATTGTCTGCTAGTACCTCTAGTAGCTACTAATATAGTCTTCACTAGTACTAATTTTCTGTTATTTTAAGATCTTTAGTGACCACTCTTCACGAACTACCGAAGGTACTATGACATGGGCAAACTACTATACTGTAACTGGACTCAAAAACAAACATTTA